GGTCTACCATGTTCAAAATAAACAGTGTCTAACGCCTGGTCCATTTCATCAGCAAGTAGAAATAAAGTGCAAGTGCTATTTCAGGAAACAGGAATTCATGAGCAAGCCTTTTTCCCAAAGAGGATGTTTGTCTGCCTTTTTTTCCTAACTATATACATAAATGTGAAGTTTTGTAATAATTAAAAAGCATATATGTCATAGTACAGTAGTCCATCAGCCAAGCTTAGTCAAGCAACAAATATTCACAAGAATTCCCAATACACTGCTGAACATCAGTGATGGTTATAACCTATGATCTCCAACATTACAATTTAATCCAGCGTGTGTGTGGAATTATATCACCAAACCTGTACACTTCAAAGTTGCTAGGTTTTTAATTTCTGCTAATAACTTCATAGATTTCATAGATTTCATAGATTTCTAGGTTGGAAAAGACCTTAGAGATCATCGAGTCCAACCGTCCCTAATCCCCATTAAACCATATCCCTAAGTAGATCATCCACCCTATTCTTAAACACATCCAGGGATGGGGACTCAACCACCTCCCTGGGCAGCCTATTCCAGGGGCTGACAACCCTTTCAGAGAAGAAATACTTCCTAACATCCAACCTGAATCTCCCCTGACTAAGCTTATACCCATTTCCTCTTGTTCTATCACCCAACACTAATGTAAAGAGCCCTTCCCCCACCTCCCCACCATCCCTCCTCAAGTATTTGTAGGCTGTAATCAGGTCTCCCCTCAGCCTCCTCTTCTCCAGGCTAAACAGCCCCAACTCCCTCAGCCGCTCCTCATAAGTTTTATTTTCCAGCCCCTTGACGAGTTTAGTCGCCCTTCTCTGGACCCGCTCCAGGAGCTCAACTTAGAAAATATCAGCCTCCCAACAGAGAAAGAGAAATCTTGACCAAAGGGAACCCATGGCAAGAGTCTCAATCATCTCAAAACAGATCTGTTCACAGAGAACATTGGAGAGATTTATGGAAATTTATGGGAAAATTTTAAGCAAGGAGAGGAACAGCAATGCACACAGGCTAATTAATAAGTACAAAGGAAAGAGAATGGAAAAGGCGGACCAGGATGTTCAGATATAAGAAAGAATGCTTTGTGTTATAGGACTTAAGAGGATGTGGAGGCACCTAGCTCAGGAAATAACAGGAGGTTTCAGCCCCTGCACTGAAGAAAGAAGTACCTGTACCTTCGCAGTGATTTCTGAGTCAAGTCTGATACTCATCACAAGCCTGACTGAATCTAAATTGCAAGGCAAAAAAAGCTACCTCAGCAGCTTGGGAGGGACAGGGAGAGGTACAGTGAAGTGTTCCAGGCACATGATGGGAATGAATGCTTTTCTGATGGTCTGTGGCCAAAAGAAGGGTGGTACCTGAGCAGACCATGGCCATTAGGATAGCTCCTGTTCCGATTCTAGCAAACTTCTCTTGTTCTGCAACTAGAGAGAAAAAAAATGGACCCAAACCTAGCACTCCCTAATGGTCATTGTAAACAGCTGAGTAGCACGTGCAACTTGAGTAACGCTCTGCTCTCCGTACCAGTCACAGCTTCAAGACTTTGGTGTCTCATGGCCAGTCAACAATGACTGGTCTGGAAGAAAAAGTGAGGGGTAGAAACCACTAATTTAGTTCATAGGTATCAAGCTAAGCCAACGAGATCCTCAAAAATACCTTGAAAAATTTTGATTACTTTTTAGAAAGACTCCCAGGATGCAGCCTCTGAAGGCACACAATCTATCACAGTTTAAGGACATCTCTATTCCCCTGACACAGCCAGGCTCTTGGAAGCAGGCTACAAAATGAGTTATACCATGAGGACTGAATTATCCATAGTGCTACTTCAGGTCTCTGTGTTGTGGGTTAGGCTGGGAAGAAAAGGAAAGGGCGGGGGGGGGAGGTGTTGTTTTTAAGATCTGGCTTTGTTTCTTTTTATCCTCTCAAGGAACTGGTTTTGTTTGTCCTTATCTTATTAAGTGACTCTTAATAAATTGCTTTGCTTTAAGAAAGCAAAGTCTGTTTTGCCCGGGACCGTGGTGGGTGGGTGCTTCCTGTCTGTTCTTGTCTCGACTCTCAGTCCATTTATTATATTTTTCTCCTCTCCATTTCACTGGAGAAGGAGTGAGAGAGCGGCTGTGTGGAGTTTAGCTGCCGGATCGGCCTAAACCACGACACTCTGTTATTACTGAGAGTTTTATAATTACTCTTCTCTCATGCCAACCTAAGAAAAATCTTGGTGGCTGTTCCACTTGACTCAGCTCTCCTCACAGAGGAGAGAAGCTCAGGAGCAACCATGGAGGAGGGAACACAGAAGAAAGTCAGCCTGAAGCTATTTTCCACAGTGTTCTTTGTCTTGTAGAGGAGAAAAGAAATGAAAGCTTTGCCTCAGGCCCTTCTCTCAGTGCTTCTGGAGCCCTTTGGATTTGTGCCACACCTCATCATGCACTTCTGAAAGACAGGGGGAGGAGAAGCAATACCAATGCATAGGCTAGCAAGTGGCAGAACACACTCTGACATAGTGCTTTTGGTGGCCCCCTCAGATGCGCTGATAAATACACAAGTATGTGCTCAGTTTGTGAGGCCTGCAGTGCATATTTGTTACTAAGCTGTCCTCCATGTGATCTGCTTGCCTCAGGTCATATTCAGGCCAAGGCAAATAGCTCCAGACCCACCAGGTCTATGCCGGTTTACACCAGTGAAAGATCAACCAGAGAGAGAGAGATAGGGGCAAGGACATCACCAGCCTCACTGCTGTATAAAGCCAAGGAAGCTAGAATGCAAAGGTCTTGTAGTATTCCCTGAGAAGGGACATAAAATGAGATGGCACCATCTTCTACCCTAGTCCAGATACATTTCATTCCGCATAGTGCTGCTGCAAATCACAATATTTAGCCCCTAATTTCTCTGTTTTCCTCAGCAAACTGAGGCTTTGTTAAGGTTCAGTCCTTTGAAGGGGGACTGAAATTTGAGATCAAGAGATTAAAAGTGTGTTAGGAAAGCTGAAACTGTTTGCTCCTCCTCCTCCAATGGGCAGTAGAAGGATGAGAAAAAGAGATACTTTTTATAGGCAATGAAAAAAGTCGCGAAGCACAAGCACATGCATAGGAAGGGAAACCTTACTATGTTTGTCTCACTGGGGCCAGGGACTGCTGTGTTTCCAAGGTATCAGGCTCAGCGCATTGGCCACAAATCCTCCCATGGATGAATCTTATGAGACCTTCCCAGGCAATGAAACTCTCCTAAGAGGAGGGAGGGATATGTTTCTCACAAAATGAGTCAGTGTGATTACAAAAGGATGTCCTGCACAAATGCAGAAAACTATTCCTCACCACTTCCAAGCTTCTTACGTCCAACAGTCAACAGCATGTCCTTAGGTAGACAGCAAAGGACTTAAAACAATTTGGAAAGTCTGAGAATTTCCACTGAAATTGGTAGAAGACTTGCAAGGATTTCCTAGAATGAAGTCTACCTGTGCAGAAAAGGAAAAGAAAGTCCTTTATCCCCAATACTGAATTGAGCTATAAAATAACAATACATTTGTGATTTAGAAAGAGAGGGAAAATCTGCATCTGGGCTTCTCAAATCACCTCTTGAGAACTTCTTATTTTGGAATTGTCCAACAGTATAATTGTGAAGCTCCTCAGGCAATTTGTTTTTTTTCTCAAACGTACATTGGTTTGTGCTTACAAGACTTGTCTGACCATTGGAGGTCCAGGTGTACCCATCTTATAACAGCACCAAACAGACAGCAGAAACATTCTGTTCACAAGTCTTTACTGTTTTACTCTATTGTAGAAGGTGTTGTCATGAACCTTTTTATGTAATCTGAAGCCCTAACAAGCAAGAATTAAAAGCATTACCAGTAGAGACATAGCATATCAACCTCTCTTTCCCAGCTATGCTCATAACGCCAAAATATTCTGCTCTAATAAACAAGTTAGTGGTGTGTAAATCTTCTTACAAGGCACTGAAGGTGAAAAAAATGTAATTTAGTTGGGCTCATATAGCTAAACAACAGCTATGTTATAGCGACATTATAATCTCCCCAAAGCATTATGGGATAACATGAACTCATTCTTCTGCAAGAGAAGGATAAATAACGCTTTCATTAAAATATCTTCTCCCGTATTGGGCAGGTCAAACCAGTTAATAGTGTTAATGATCCAGATTCAGGAAAAGGAGGCAGTTTAAGAACACCCCACAGAACAGGTGTCCCACTCAGAGTCTTCTATTTTTGCTTTTCACAGAAGTTTCTTTTTTGCTTTTTAATGAGAGCCCTGCAGCTTGGCTCCCCTGTGTTTCAATGCAGCCTTATCATATGCAAAGTCAAAGTCAGCAGCGATAGGAAGAGAGACAGGGAAAGCTGGTGAGCGCTGGCGGTGTCTGCATGAGCGTGGCTAGACCGTCCATGGCCCCGGGGTTGGGGTTCAACCGTGATGTAGCCGTTAATGATGCGAATCCGGGGAGGAGGGTCGGTAGCACTGCAAGGCAAGAGAAGAAAATCAGTCCAGACCCAGCCCAGAAGTGTCCGATGCCCACAGAGCAGGAGGTAGTCAGCCTCTGTGCCCCACTGTCAGTCTTCTGAGCTCCTGGGAATGGTCTCTCGTACTGGTTCCATGCTCACCAAAGGACTGTGTTTCGTAATGGCAGAGTGCTGCCTCGTCCTTTCAGGTGTGGGCAGCTCTGACGCCAGCCCATGTGGACAAGGTCACTTCCCAATTGAACTGCAAAGCAGTCTTGAGGGAGGACAGGGAAGAGATTGAGGAGGGTGGAGACAGCACTGAAACACCTGCCCTTTACTCAGGTCAACCCAGCCAGCCTGCCCCTTGCTCCCAGGCAGTCAGCCAGGTGGTAAGATGACCATATTCCTAGCACTTTTCAGCTAAGCAGAAAATACGTAAGAACAAAACAAGCTTTGTTGCAGCAGGAGTGAGGCGCTTGCTTTCAGCTGAATCCACGTTCCCCAGCCATGTTTCTGTATGTGCATCTTAGCGTGGACCAAACTTGTTCCTATAACACATGTTCCTTTTCACAGGTCAGGAATTAAAAAGGGTTTACATTGCATGCTTTAAGGAAAGGAAGAAACACTTCCAGAAATGCATCGTAGAGTCATTGGGAAAAGATCACCACATCCCAGAGTATCTCCCAGTGGTAGTGAGGACTCTGAGGGGGTGACGAACAAGAACTAAGAGCCCACATGATGCCGAGCTCCTGTTATGGCAACATGTGATGGAGGATAGAAATTTGTGTACTCCAGCCTTCTAAGATCAACTGTCCTGAACTGGGAGAGCTCAGACACCATGATAGGTCAAGAGTCAGAAAGGTCAGATAATACACAGGTGTGTTCTCTTTGACAATGAATTGAAAGCCATGTTTGACCCCACAGCTGTAAGGCTGATATATACCCCAGGGCCTCACGGTGCTGTGCGGAACCAGAAGACAAATTTGGGCAAAATTTAAAGCACGTCTACCTGCCAAATACAAAAGCAGAGCCATTTCTCCTGCATCCGCTCCCCAGCTGCTGTGCACCATTCTCGCCTTATTTTGGCCAGCTGCACTAAGCAAAAACACTTGGGGAAATTGAAGGCAATTAATTAGTATCCTTTTTTTAAGAACACTTACGCTTCCATACCCAAAGGCCCCCACAGAAGGTTTGAACAGTAACTGGAGAGAAGCCAGCTGGCAGCACATCAAAGAAATACAGCTGACAGCTGATGCATACAGGAGCATGAACCAAAGCAATCCTGCCAAGCCCACTACAAGACTGCATTAAATCACTTGGGCTGTGCCTTTCACGTTTCCACTCTTACAGGAGGAAAGCCGTGAATGGTCCACGCATGAGAAACCTGACAGCTTTACCTGTGCCTGGGCACTGCGGGCAATGCTTACAGCAAGGGCTGAGACTCCCAGCGAGACGTGCCCTGCACACGTGTGGGCTTGAGCCCAGGGAGACTGGATTTTTGTGGGTACACATCGGGGCTGTGCCACGAGATGGGGCTGTCAGCTCAGCCCACGCCTGCCCAGGCAGCCCGCAGCACGGCGGGCGGCTTGCACACGCGGGTGTCAGGGCAGAGAGGGTGGTGATTCCCGCTGCTTTACAAAGACTAAACCCAGAGCACGGGGCGGGGGCTGTGCGTGAAGGACAGCTGCCTCTCTGGCACTCGCAGCCTTCCCTCTGCAGTAAGGGCACAGCAATCTCCCAGGCAGCATTAAGCATCCCTTGCCTTTTCCAGCACTGTCGTGCAACAGCTCCATCACCAGGCGTTCAAACTCTCTGCTTCTAAGGACTCGTCCCTAAAAAGAATTTGTCACCTAGCGCCTGGGTAAGTTTCTAGTGCAAAGGATGACTTAATTCGTAGAGGAAGAAAGGAAACATTACAAAAGTATAAAAGGAAAGGAGGAATTTGCTGCTCTCATGTTTATGCAGTAGTTTCCTAAGCTGCCATCATTAGCTTTGCTTTTACCTCACTATGGCCTTGCAGTACTTGCAATCCAGTAGGTAGCCCTAATGTTACTCCAATTTAGTCACAGCAGCGCCTCTTTCCATCTTCCCCCTTCTTCTGAAGGCACTGTTGTGGCAAGGGCATGCATATCTCACATCAGGGCACCCACTGCCTTCCCTGGGCTTCATGGGAACAACTGTGCGTGAAAAACTGAACATGCCAGTGTGCAGGCAGGGTGGGAGCTTGAGATCATAAAGATTCCAAATCATTCCTTGGCATTTCAACTAAACAGGCTGTCAACCGAAGCTCCAAAACCCCATTCGCAAACAGCTACATTAATAGAAAGTAGACAATACACTAAAAGACAAAATCCAATGTGATCGATGTAAGGATTCGTTGTACTGGTGAATCTTGGATTGTGTGTAGGTCTGTCGGTGAGCATGCAAACCTCCATGTTCGTTTGTCTCCCTTTCTCCCTGAACTACTCACACTTAGGTTGGAAGGAGGAGCAGGGAGAGGGCACAAAGCTACTCCAGAAAAGAGGAAAAGGAGTCTAGTTTAAAAAGCCTGACAATGGCTGAATGCTTCGAACAGAACAACAGCTGTTGCATCTGCTTGCAGCCAGCCTGAGCAATGTATTACTTAAAGCAGCAGTACAGCTGGCACCCAGGGACGTGGCAGGAGAAGCATAAGATATACTGATATACTCAGTACATTGGGGAACAGGAAGAAATCTTCTTCAGAGTAAAACAAAAAGGATTTAGAAGCTTGATTTCAGGAACTGTAGGCTTTTCTCCATCATCCTGACCTGTCTGTTTTTTTACAGTATTATAAAACCAAAATGTTTTCAACCTGACTATGGCAAAGATACAGAGACACGAAGCACAAAGGAGAGCAAACCCAGGTCTGTGTTTTATCTGACAGGAGGAAAACATTAAGGTACATATTCAGCCACAGGCCTAAGTATAGCTAGTGAGGGAAAAGTTGTCTTTTATTGTAGGCTGCTGTAATTCTTGTAGGTGAGTAAGCTCTTCTGGATGAAAATTAGGGGGTATGTGTGAACCTTTGCGTCACAACACCTTTTTTTATATTAACACCATTATCCATTAGGTTACCATCCCTGTTTCCAGATCTCCAGTAATGTCATGGGGCTCACAAGCTTTTTAAGACTGGAAGAATACAGAGACTGGAAATACTGCATAAATATTGTCCAAAAGCAAGGAGCAATATGCCAGATATGACAGTTTCCACATATCCAGCAGCTCTTGAAAAAGGTTCCAAGGCTTTTATCTGTACTATCTACCACCGAACCCAGCCTTCTATGTTAAGGACTACTATATGCTCACAATCCATCAATCCCAAATGCAAGATGGTCTAGACAAGGCTTCTTTGTATTATGCCTAATTTTTCATAAACTTAACCATGCAGAATAAACTATTTTGTCACTAAAAGCACAAGCAGCCTTAAGCAAATGTTTCAGCAAGAATCACGGTGAGAGAGAAGGTCAGATCCTGCCCTCAGCATGTATCTAGCCCCTGCAGAAGTTTGGCATACTGGATTAATCAGTATAAGTTAAAGTCCAGTTTGCATGACAAACCCTTCTCCATTCCCAGGTGTACCCAGCGGTTAGCTACCTTTCTTCAAGGCGAACCCAGAGGTCATTAAACTGTCGCAGTCTTTGCTTCTTCTGCTGCTTCTTCTTCTTCTTTTTGTACTTCCTGTCTACCTTCTCCAGCATGTCCATGCTGTCAGGGAGCAGCAGGTGAGGCAGGAACTCTTCTTCCTCCTCCTCCTCCTTCCGGGGGTGCAATGGCAGTGTGAGCTCCTGGGACACGACATACGGGCTGTGTGCCGGTGTTGATGATGAAAAGGCTAACAAGGTTTTGGGGGCTTTTCTGCTGGAAGAAGGAGGGAACACAGATAATATTTGAAAGGGCTTTGAGGCAGAATCCTGGTACAGATACCATCAAGGCACATATATAGCAGGTGTTTCTCCCCGACATATTGGCTGGATGCTTATTTCTCTGCCTTGTAATCCTGCCCTCTCTTCCTTAAGTCTCTATTCTGATTAAAACAGTGCTCTTTAATGAAAAAAAGCTTTAGAAAAGAGGTAATCTGGAACTGAGGAAAGAATGCAGTCTGGCTTATTGTAGAATAACTCTTGGGAACAACGTCATGTATCTAGAAAAAGACAAAAAAGAAATCACCCTCAAAGTCAGAGGAGGTCAAACCACACTCCTCTAGTCTGATGTACTGCAGAACACAGACCAGATTATTCCTTTCAGCAATTTCTGCCCAGAGCCAACTAACCTAGGGGGGCAGGGGGAAGAGGCAGGGACAGGACGACTAAGGCACACTAGCTGAAGGATCCAGTCCTAGATCAACAACTCTCACTGCTGGAGAAAGTAAGTAATGAGCTAGTCCACAGACTGTAGTAATGGCTGCAGAAATGCATCTTGAAAATTATCATCTTTGAAGGGAATGGCTCAATATACCATTAAGCAATCCTTTGGGACATCTAGTGTGCGGGAACTGGAAGCAGACTAGCTGTGGCAGTGCCAAGTTCACGTCATCTCGTTTTCTCTTTCATGAAGCCAGATGGCACAAAGCAGTAAATGCACAACCTTTATAAAACATCAGGTCAGAGGACATGTCTGACACAGAAGAGACCAGAGGTCAACTTGCTATTGTGGCATTGACTTCTACCGTAAGCATTTGCTGTCTCTATGCTGATCTGCAAAAGGAGATGCCACTCAGGTAAGCACACCAAGGAGCACGAAACGGTGTTTTTAACGGGTTGTATCAGGCAACTATGGAGGTTCATAAGGAGGCTAAGCAATAGCAGCTCTCCCACAAGGCAGAACTGAGCTTTGCACAAATTTAGAGCAAGTAATGATGGAGTACGAGTCAGGCCTTCAGCTTTCTGGCTGCACAGATCCTGTATTAGGCTGGCAGCATTATTTGGAATTTCAAAGCAGCTCCAGCAAATGAGATACTGCAGTGAGACCATGTGCATGCACAAACTCTCTCTGGAGGCAAATGCTGAAAGCCCAAATGACCACTCAGTCGAGCCCCCAGAAAAAGCTCTAAGGGCTATGCTTACCCAGTTTTGTGCAAAGGTGATATACTGAAGAAACAATCAGGTTTACCCTAATTACTCAAGCTCTCTTTCATTATGTTTAGAGCAAGCAATGTCTCCTCATCTATAGTTCAAGGCAGGCAGTCTATGCAGTTTCCTATCCACTCATGGCTTTGCTGGCCCACACTTCTCAGTGTTTGGAACAAAGCGATTCCCCTCTTTACTTGTTTATAAGCATCTTGAATAAACTCACAAAAACAATCCACTCTGTGGATACACAGAGCATGACACAAATATCTGACTGATCTTTATGGCTACTTCATAAAGAAAAGAGATGCAGCAGTCTTCTGTAACAAGGCAAAACTGAAGACTGGCTTGGGCTGAAATTCAGAAAGGTAACAGAAGACTACTGTGCAGAAACACAAGTGAAACCTTCCTGGAACTATAGTGTGTTTCCTTCCTGCCTTGCAATAGCATTGAAAATAGAAGGTCTAAGAGATATGTTTCAGCATGGCTGCAGTTTTCAAGCCAGCCCATTGCTGTGGGAGCATCTCTTTGATGAAGAATAAAGAGGGTCCATCCAGGAGAAGGAGAAAAGAAGTTGTGGACTGAAACATGAGGGAGAGAAATGGAAAATGAAGAGAATTTGATCTTATTTCTTGCAAGGAAAATCACAGGCTGATCACATAGTGAACTTTATGTGACAGAGACTGGCACAAAACGGGTCTTGGGCTATTGATCTCTTTCAAAATCCTTACCATTGTCACACGCTCACTTTATCACCCCTGAAGTGTGACGATGCTTTGGCTCTCCTCCACAACACCTTCAGCTGACCCATTCTTTAGCTCTGCCTTACAGAGTGACCCCCCTAGTTGTCTCCAGTGACCTGATTTGATCTCTCTGAAGGTCCTCTGCTTATGGTTCCCTTTTCCCCAATTTCTCTTCACTGTGTCTGTTCCTTAATTGTGAAAGTCACAGAGTGGGCACCAGCCCTCCCCTGTAGAGTTCCTTGCTGCCTGCAGTCTCCCCTACCAAACTCAAGGCCATACCATGCTGTAGCTCAGCATTGCTACAGACACAGACAGGATGACCTCCATCCTGCACAGCCAGCCATTTGTTCTGATGCTTGCAGTCTCAGAACACTATTAACAACACACAATCATATACATAACCTCCTTTGCAACACTTCCTACAGGTAATTCTTCCAAGAACCAACTGAGCAACCACAGGAAAAGGCACACAGATGGAAAAGCACACCCTTCTGCCCAAGGCCAGTTCCCTCTCCTAGCACAGAGGAGTCAGGAAGCACCTTAATTACAGCTGTGATTATGTGACAAATATTTTACAATATATATATATGCATTCTAACACCAGGAACAACAGTTAAAGCCCAAAATAAGACAGTAGGAGCTTGATTGAACTTGTGGCACTATTTAAAACTATCCTTTGCACTGCTGCATGGTTGGAGCACCTCTTTTCCCTTCCTTGCTTTGGTGACACCATGAAGAAGGAGCCCTCCTGCCTCCACACTCCACTACGAGCATTCATCCCCTTCCCCCTGCAGATGGGCAGGACACCTTAGGCAGCCCTGTCTTCAGGTGAAATTGTGTGACTGCACCCAGCAGTTTGCCTGTTACAGGAAAACATGCATAATGATCCCACACCTTTCTGTGTTCCTACACACAGATATCTACAAGATACTTCAGAAGAGACGTTCTGTTTAGCCAGAGCACAGTAAGAAGCAGACTGTGCTGCTAATGCATAATGTTGCAAGGAGGAGAGACAATTGCAGACCTCCTCATCCTCTTGTTTTAGGACCACTCAGCTAACATCCTCTACCGTAGCCGATAGTAGAAGAGCCATTTGAATACTCTGTCTCAGTTCAACCATTTGCCAGTTTTTTTCCTCTCTCAATTTTGTCCCATGAAATAGCCCACAGGTACTGACTCAACTGTGTGCAGCACTGCTAGCTAGGGCAGTGGCTGGATACAGTTCCACATTTAGGTAGGCTGGACTGGATTTATTGACACACTGCCTGGATTTTTGCTCCTAGAACAAATCCAGCATAGCAATCAAGTGAAACCCTCCATCCAGCCCTCAGGACTCTGACATACTCTTGCCACAGGTCTTTCCCTCACCTCAAATGCTCTTTCAGAACTCACACTTTTCTTGAAACTCATTTAATATTTTTAAATCTGTTTCCAAGTCATCCAGAACTGTTAACACCTTTTCTCAAAGAAAACACCGAAGTGCCAGCTTCTTTAGCTTTTTCATTCAGCTTCAAACTCAAGTCTCTGGAAAAGATGTTCTGTCTGGTAGTTGTAATGAAAGGTTTGAGAGGCAACTGGTGTCAAACTGAGAGCTTTCAAAGGCACAAGGGTCACTGGCTGGACAATGAACTCCCGTTATGTTGTGAGAGAACTGGATGTTCAGCTATCCTGAGTATCATTGATACCTACCTTCCCGATGGGTAAAGATCTATCCTTCCTTTCTACAGCTGTCTGCCCTCGATTTCCTTACAGGTACTTTTACAGAGCAGTATCAGAGTTTGTTTTTTTTTTTATTCTCAAGTACATATTAAGCTCTCTTTCTTTAAGATTTCAGAAGCTGCTATGGCTATTTTTAGGAATACCTAAGCTAAGAACATTCTGAGGGGAAAAAAAATAACAACATAAAAAACATCAGTGCAGGCAGGTTTTTTATAATCCCTGTAAACCCTGATACACTGGATTCTGTATCATGACTGAAGTGTTACTGGATCATTAAGACTTGTGCTTAAGCACAAGGGGCTTCTCCATCTCAGACTACCTGCCCAACAGGCAACAGGGTTAGGGGTTGCATTCAAGTAATCACAGAGATGAGTCTTTGCTCAGTTTGTTTCAGTGCATGCAGAGTTAATGATGTATGTCCATGTCAAGAATCATAGCAAAAACATCACCCGCCAGAGTTTGAATCTCATGGTCTGAAAAAGGCAGCAAAACTGATGCACAGAGAAAGATGAAGCAACCACAGTATGATAAAAACATCTGTTACTATTTTGCACCACTGTGCCCCCTGCAGAAAAGGTTATCGTCCTGCCTGAGAGTCCCATATCAGAAATCTAGGGGAGGAGTAAGAGAGATGTAAGCAGTGAAGGATATAGCACAGAGGATAAAAGTGAAACAGTACCATAACTGGGATCAAACGTTTTTTCCACTGTGGTCTTTTAGCAGTGACTACAGGGAAGAGTGGGGATACTGAGAGACACGAGCACATGTGTGGCAAGAGTCTGGAGAAGGGGGAGAAAAGGATTGCAGACCCTAAGCTGGTGGCAAGAAATCCAGGAAGAGGTGAGTTAAGAGCATGTGTAATTCTCGGCAGAGAGTGGAGGAGATTATTGGGCATTTTGTAGTTACTGAAACCACAGAGATGGATAAAGATACCCAGTGAGAGATAAAAAGAGGCACTCAGGGTATAGTCTGAAGAACTGCTGCAAGATGAACCAGAACAGCAAGTACCTTGGCTTAAAGATGCAGAAGAGAGCAGAGGACACGAGAGCAATCAGTCATGGAGACAGCTTGCAAAGAGGCTGGATGGACTCTGGGCAGTCAAATTCCAGGCTGAGGGAGAGTAATCAGAAAGAATCAAAAATAGCTGTGTAAGAGGAGGAGAATGTTAAAAGGCAGCACAGTCAAATACTTAAATGGGAGGAAGGAGGAGCCTGGAAGCCCATGGGGTATGAGACAGCATCCAGATCTGATGAACCAAGCATGCATACTCTTATGGCTGTCAGTGTAAGAGTTAAAAACTTACAGAGGGGAAAGGAGGAGGAAATATTTTTATTTTATTAAAAAAAAACCCACAAAACAAACAAAAATCCCCTAAACAAAACAGAAAAAACCCCAAACTCAAATGAAAAAATAAAATCCTGTTTCCAAATCGGCTCATGAAAGAGAAAAACTGCTGGGGAGGAGAGAGGGAGCCCAGCTCACTGTTAGATATAGTTCCAGCCGCCACCACCTCTTCAGGATTGTTTACAAACCCACCCTCCCAATGGCTGCTCAGCTAGATAAAAGCATGCATTACTTGTTGATGGTTTGTCCAGCTGGAGTGTGTTCTACCTCGTACCCTTCTCTCCTCAAAACATCAACGACAGTGTTGTTGCCCATGAAGTGACCTGCAGTTAAGAGAAAAATGACATCAGAGCTCAACAAGTACAGAGAAAATGAGAGAAGAACGACAAAGTCTTTCCTCATCTCAGAAGGTGTGCTACACTCAGGGCAGGCAGTGCTTTATCACTCCCCACCAACATGCACCAGAAACATGGGATCTCTAATGAACAATTGCTGAACTTTCCCAAGGTCACTTCAATTACCACATTCTACCCTTCTAAAATACAAGTGCAACTGAAATTACTCTGGTCCCGCAGGTTGTTGCATTATCAGGCCACTGTGGATTTTCTGGGGCAAAAAGAGACGAAGTTGGGAACCACCTGCTCAGGAACAGCACCGAGTCAAAAACTGGTGGTGGTGCAAACCAGGTCAGAACCTGGCTGCAGTGTGTACATCATTTTAACATCCACTGGCATCATAAAGGCATTATCTGAGATGTCGGTCAACATCATTAACAATTTTTAAATGATTAAGAATTATCCAACTGCAGAGAACAGAAAATATCTCTGAAAGCCAATGACTTGGATCAACCCCTTTCATTCCTTCACTACAAGCCATTGGGGACAAAAACTCCACTGCAGTCACATTGACAAAAGCTTCAGAAGGACTTAGCTAGTTCTGCCCTAATTCTGTGATTTATGTCTCCACTCCATTTTCAGACAGATGCCATGGCCACATAATTTGGCATTATAGTGAATAAATGACTACTTAAAGGGTGCAGAAGTTATTCCTGAAGGACGGTATGCTCTGCATGCTGACTGACTCCCACCATCACTCCAACATCACATCAGACAAGGCTGCTGAGAAGCAGATGGATAACAGAGCCTTGCACAGTCCCTCATAGATCCAGGTTTCTTGAAAACATTTGTTCATTTCACAGCCTACATTAATTAAAATTAGGCTTGAGCAAATGACTTCAGAGTGCTCTCTTGCCTCTGTAGATGTAAGCAGTGCTAAAACTGACAAGTTTAGAAAAACTGTTTTCTGCCAATATTCTTCATAAATACATGGCAATAAACCCATCAGAATGATTCTAGTAGCCAGGAAAAGCAAGGAGATAGAAAGGGAAGTCCAATGGTTACAAGATTAACGGGAGATTAAACCCAAGGGACTTAGGATTTTTCAGTCCAAAATGGATTCAACGAATTGGAGCACAACTTCCAGTTTCTCATGCCACAACAGAGGGCTCATGAACTACCAGCTAGAGGCGTGACAGTTGGATGGTATCCATTGAGCATAGATATTTATCAAGATAAAGCTTCCCCGAGAGACTAAGAACATAAACAGATCTAGCTCAAATGAACCTTTTTAACCAAACACTGCACTGCAACACACACTCATTGGGTACCGTATTTTCTCACCTAGTAACTGGATTCTCCCCCAGCTCCTTGGCCTAACTTTTGCCTTCAGAAAGAGTAAACCTCAAACATTATCTGGACCTAATGTAGTACTGTTGGTATCTGTTGCTTGCCAATGATTCGGCCCCAGCTGCAGTTAACTGAGAATTTCCTCATGTCAGCAAAAAGACCAGATGCAGCAGGGAACAGGAAAGACTGTAATTAAAAATTGTAATTGAGTAAAATCAGGCACTGGAAGGCCAACATTAGGTATCTAAGGTGCCAGACCTAGCTGCTATCTCTCACCTTTAATACAGAGGAGAGGTATGTGCAAAGGGAAGGGGAGAGGGGATTCACTCCTCCCCTACCTCCAGACAGCAGAGAAAGGGGTGCTTCCAAAGGGTGGATCCACCCCTTGTAAGTGGGAATGAGATAGGACAACTTAGATTTTTAGAGAAGCACCTCTCTGTTGATGAAGATAGGGGCAGTGTACATTGCAAGTTCAGACTTGTTATCCGTCTCATGTGGGCACTGTTGGATGAGCTGAGTCCCATCCTCAGCAGTGAAGAGCAGGTTGTGAACTCATATTTTCCTAATCCAAGTCCTTCAGGAGGAAAGAGACAAGACATAAAGATAAGCAAACTGTAAGGCAATCTATAGTGTTCAAATAATTTTCCTCATGCTGTTTAAGAACTTACAGTCTCACCCATTTCAAGAGTGAGCTACTGAATTGCTCCTCACATCACACCATCAAATGCACTACCCCCTGTCAATCTTCAGTTACCCTTGCTCAGAGCAGTGATTTTAGAGCCCCCAACATAAGAAGGACATGGACCAGTTGGAGAGGGTCCAGAGGAGGGCCACGAAGATGATAAGAGGGCTGGAGCACCTTTCCTATGAGGACAGGCTGAAAGAGTTGGGGCTGTTCAGCCTGGAGAAGAGGAGGCTCCGGGGTGACCTTATAGCGGTCTTCCAGTACCTCAAGGGGGCCTACAGGAAAGATGGGGAGAGGCTGTTCAGGAGGGCCAGTTATGATAGGACAAGGGGTAATGGTTTTAAAATAGAGGGAGGTAGGTTCAGGTTGGATATTAGGAAAAAATTTTTTACTATGAGAGTGGTAGAACACTGGAACAGGTTGCCCAGAGAGGTGGTGGATGCTCCATCCCTGGAGACGTTCAAGGCCAGGTTGGACAAGGCCCTGAGCAACCTGATCTAGTTGGAGATATCCCTGTTCCTTGCAGGGGGGTTGGACTAGATGACCTTTGAAGGTCCCTTCCAGCCCTAACCATTCTATGATTCTATGATTCTATGATTTTTATTGGTATGTAGGAAATTACTGTAGCACACGGATGAATCCTATTTCAATCAGTCAACCTGCTTGACTGACTTCCTGAAGCTGGGCCTTAATCTTCTTTTTAATGTGATGGAGTGATAAGAACACAGTCATGTGTACAGGCCTTCACAGTGAGCACTGTTACCAATACAACGAGTTATGCCTTCATATGAAAGAAAAATGGCGTGCTAACATTGTGCAAAAGAGAACCAACCAAATGAATAGATATGTGTAAAACAGATGCATACAAATACAAACAGGCATGTGATACCAGATTGTTCACAAGACGTGATCAACCAGGAGCCACTCAGGCTGGGCACATAAAAGGATTAGGAGATGTCAGTGTTTGCTATCCAAAAGGTGGGCCACACGTGCTCCACGAGACAGATGCCCAGAGGTCTGGAGCCCAGAGGACCTACAGGCTCAACTTGAGCTAGGTGCAAAATAAAAAAAAGACAGAAGGGTGAGGGTTAGAGGTACGGGACCCCACCAGGAGCTTCTCTAGAGTCAGCATTTTTGCCTGTTTTCTGGGAACCGTCATGGAAAGACCTTGGTGGTGTGCGAGAGACCCGATCACCAAAAGCAACTGTAAGAAACATGAGAAAGATTCACTCTCCAAGGTTTAAGATCAAGCAGCTATGCTGCAAGGGAGACTTAGCCTAAAGTCACGTGACAGGGAGTCGGCCTCTTTCACCTGTTTTCTATTTTAGCCTAACACACTTGAATGCCCCTCAAAAGAAAAGCCCCAGGCCCTGTCCCACCAGAAAGCCCACTCTTTTCTTTCTGTACACAGTCCTGCATTATCGTCACACCACTAGGTGAAGAGATGCCTCTGAGAGGTCAATTTGCTCTGGCAGGGGGTGGGGAGCCATGAATCTCTATTCTTCTGTGCTCAAGCCCAAGAGAAACTAAGCAGCTGTTGTGTGCACCAGCTCAGCCATGCACTCTGCTGGAGAGTGAATAAGACCCCAGCCTTTAATCTGCACTGAAAGGAGTGTAGGGACCGCAAGAGGCAACGTGCACAAACGACAACGCTGCCCGACTAACGTGCGCTTGCAGACTAGCAGTCCACGCACTCGGACATGCATCGAGCACTCCTGAACTCCCTCAGTGGCAACAACCCATCTTGCAGAACACAGGCTACTACTATTGCCATGAAATCCATGTTTCCTGCTTGCAGCTTTTACTGCCAGTGCACACAGAGGTGTTTTCAACTAGGTAACTGTGCTAGGACTGTGGGTTTCAGCAGAGCCTCCTGAACCCAAATTTGAGCCATTGCAAGGCTGAAAATTTTCTGCATCTAGTGAAATGAACAAGGAAATATTGCTCAACAGAAGTTCTGTTTCCATTCCTGAATTTTTATTTTTCATGTAAAGCAAGATTTTAAGACTGAAGAAAACTATATTCCTCTGTGAATTTCAACAAAACCCAACATTCCAACCTGATACACAAATTTCCTTGACCTTCTCTTAGAGCCATGTAAAAAAAGGAAACTCCCAAGCCCGCATAATTCTTTATGTCTGCTGTGTTTTCCTTAATAGAGGTACAGCACTTCCCATCTGCCCTAGAAACATGCCAGGACCTGACCATCTACAGATATTGGAAGACAATGGATCACTGGACGCACATATAAAGAAACAAAACTGAATGTTAGGAAACCTGATCTGGACTGCTGACCTCCAAGAAGTCATGGGAACAGCTACAGCACATAACAGTGCAACCACAAAATGGCCCAAATTATTCTAGCCACTGGGGACATCATAAAGCAGGATGTTTATTTCTGATTGGGCTGGGAGCACTCAGGTGGGCTTTTGGTGCCATTGGTATGGGTCATTGAAACAAGTAATTTCAAGAACCTTTTACACATACAGATCTTACAATTATTTAGAAACTTCCTGGAAACGCCCATGGCAATGATCATCTGCTATCTTTCCTCATAGGCTGTTTCCAAGAATTAGATAAATTCATATAATATGCCTCAGAAGGGTGAACAGGACACCTGTAGGTGACTGGATTACAGCTACTGACCTATAAAAAAGGCATGACATGAGGCTGCTGACTATGCTACCCATGAACAAAAAAAGGAGAAACTTGATCAAAAATTATCACTTAACTGTGAGGCACAAAGGACAGCTCATGCCTCTCTGTGCCTCTGTGCCTCCCACGGCAGGATTCTTCTCCTACCTTTCAGTAATCTAAGTATCCTCCGATAGCAGTCTGTGAGCCAATAAACCCACAGAGAAGGGTTCAAAACTGCCAGTGCTCCCTCAAACAACAGCAAAGGAGAATTCCTGATGGCCTGGGGAGCAGGGATATGCATGGCCGACGTCAGTCC